TATAACTTTTTTTCTTTTTCTTTTATTTTCTTTTACCAACACTCAAATAATAATGAATATACACCCTTTTGAAAAAATATCTAACTAAAAACTAGCCAAATTTTCTAAGTTTATCAACTTAGTCCATACCATATAACCTCACCTTCACCTGTACCAAACAAGAAATACTTAATAAAAATGTAAAGTGAGACAAACACCTATTCTCCCTCTCCTTACTTTCTGTAACTACTTATAAAATATCATAAAGAGAGAGGGAGATTAAGATATGACATAAAACCAACCAAAGCCACTATAGTAAAAATAAAATATCAACATATTACTAAGTTACGTTACAAATTACCCATCCTTTCTTCATAATAACTACACAATCCATTTCTTTTCTTTTTTTCAGAAGCCATGAATACCCAAAGAGGCACAAAAAGGGGGGGGATTATATTATTCTAAGAAACACAGTTTTTGTCTCTTCTTTCTTCTCCATGTTTCTGTAACCTCCCTTTCCCTTTCAATCTCTTTCAAGTGCCTTGAATCTTTGTACTCATCAGGTTCCATTTTCCTATCTTTCCTTCCATATTTCAAGATGCCAGTCATCGTTCTTTTATTCACTTTGAGTTTCTTTACACAGTCCTTAACTCCTCTTTTGCTTCCCCCTTCTTATTCTTTCTTTTCATTAACACGTTTAATGAGGGCCAGTTTGTTGCTTCTTTTTTTATTACAGAGTATTATTTCTTTTGTAGCAAGGTCCGTTTCCTGAATCTCTTTTTCCTTAAATACTAGCTGATTTTCAAACTGTTCCCTCATCTTCTCCTGATCCTCGATACAACTCTGGGTAAATTGATTTTGCTCTCCATTTTTTTCCTTTTCTTGATTTACAGTTTGGTAATTTTCCACCAGATTATTACAGGCAACCTTCACAGTTTGCGTAATCTCTTTCACTAAAAAATTCTGAAACTGTTCCTAAGTAAGACTGCCAACTTCTGTGTCCGGGTCTAACTCTTCATCACCTAATCCCAACTCCATTTTACAATTAGTCCTCTTTATTCGTTTCACAAAAACATTATGTCTTCTTACAACTCAGCTGCTCTCCAACTATTACTCTCAACAAACAAAGGATAGATATTTTCCTTACCCCCGCCATTTTACAACTAAATTGATTTCCAAATGCTTTGTAGCTGCTTTTTAATAGTTGGATATATTTCTTGGGGGTATAAGATCCAAATCCACTCAGTTTTTGCTTGATAATACATGAGTTGGTATCTTTGTTTTGATGTGCTTCTTATCTTGTTAAACTACAATTAAAAGGAAGGTCGCAGCTGTAGTGGATACATGGAAGCCATGTTCCACTCCTTTTCTTGGTCTTGCATCGGGGCAACACAGGCCACTCCCACAACCTGCCGATTGTGGGGTGCCCGAGCAAGCCTCTTGCTACCCAAGTTCCCTCCAGGAGTCTGGGTGGTGCCCAAGGTGGTCACCAGGACCTGGGGTCTCCAATAGAACCAAGAAAGGGTGAACACCCTCAGGAGCAACCCAAACAACGTCTGCTCGCTGCGCCGTACTGCAATAAGATCCCACTCCAATGAAGTTGACAGAAGGAATTTTTCCCACTTTCCCCTTCCTAGGGCAGCTCATATGCCTCCCACTAGGGATTCTCAAGAGCAGCATAAGATACAGCATGAAGGGGCTGCAGCTAGAAGAGGGAACTTATGGAAATTTCTCCTTGTACTTTTGTGCAAGGGAAGCATACCCCCCCAAAAAGAGCAAAAGTTCACTCAAGGATTGCAAACCGGGTTTCTACTTCTGTGGGCAGTTTCCTGGGCCACATCCCATTCTGATCCTGGTATAATGCCCCCCTCCCCCAGAATATTGATGTCTCTGTCTACCAGGGGAATGAATAGTTTGGCAAGGCCTCAAGTTACCACTAATATCTAAATTAAAACTAGATATTTGAATTAACATTTTAAATGAATTTGGATATTTAGGTGCGTAACAGCAGGCTAAATGAGTTGGAAATTAATTCTACTCTATTCATCACAAATTAGTCCAATTAGCCAAAATTTATTTTTGAATCCTCATAATCTTTTGCTATTATAAAATGTGTAGTGGAAGGATGATTAAAATCTTAATTGAAATACAGACTAGTACAATACTTGTACAAAGAATTATCAACAAGTATTCTTTTTTTAAAAAAATAGTTTGCATATTGGCATGGCGATATAATACTGTTACCCAAATGGTCTACACATATATATACCTTGACTATAGAAATGTCCCTCTATACTGTGTCAGAAGCTTATGCATGCATGTGGTCAGGAAAATTAATATCGGGACTATTCTGCCAGAACTATACCAGGGTCCAAGATCTGATATAATACCTCATTAAGGTGTGCATATTCTTAGAATTAAACAGGCCTAGGTTTAAAGTTGAGAGTTTATTAAGCAAAAGAATAATAGCAAAGGGAATTAGGAAACTGAATACAGAGTTTGAAACTCTCTCTCTCACACACACACACGCACACTAAATAAATGGTCTACTAATTCTAACTTCTACCAAATCCTAATCTAAGAAAATATTATTAGTCTAAAGAAAATCCAAGTAGATGGGATGGGGAGGAGAAGAAAGATATAAGAACCTGCCTGGGTGACTAAAGTCCAGTGAGGTTCATTGGAGGAAGGAATAACAGCATAGGTGAATGCAGGGTGGAGGAGCTTGGCATGATCTTTAGGCATCAGGGTCAATGCAGAGTCATGCACACATATACCACTACATATTTCCACATGAGAGTTTTGGTGCCAGGTGATGGAACCTAGTACAAGCATGGACGGATTCAAGAGGGAATTGGATAAACATATGGCACAGAGGTCCACCAATGGTTATTAGACACAAGGTATAAATAGGAACTCTCAGTCTGGGGCAACTGATGCTTGGTATTCTTGATGCTTGGGGGGAGGGGCAACAGTTGGAGGGCTTCAAATGTCCTGGCCCCACTGGTGGACCTCCTGGTGGCACCTGGTATTTTTGCCCACTGTGTGACAGAGTGTTGGACTGCAGGGGCCATTGGGCTGATCCAACATTGACTTCTCTTATGTTCTTAATATCAAGATGGGACCCAATGGCTGGAACAAAGAGCTGGGATTCTCAGGGCTAACTTCATACCACCAAAGTGTTCAGATAGAGGGGGAAATAGACACTTCTCAAAATGGATTGACTGGGAGCCACAAGTATCAAACTTCACTGACAAATCAGAGATATAACTATTGGATGGGAAAGATATCTCTCAGGGAGGGCATATTGGGGATGTGATGTTGTCTTTGATACAATTTATGGCCCAAATAGAATAACAAACTAAGTCTATATGGTCACCTTTTGGTTGAATTAGATTCCAGAGAAAAACACAGTGAAAGAAATAAAGATATAAAATGAAAAAAATGCATGAATTGAAAAGTTATTCCTAGATACTGTGGAGAAAATATCATGGCACAGAAATGTCATGGGCAACGACGACAGCGCTGGGCACCAGCCTGAGTTGACACTACCGTCAGAGCTGCCGGCATTGCCTGAGCCAGAAGCCAGCCCCTCTGACACCTTGGGAGTTCAGCTTGCCACCGCCACTTCCAGTGCCTGAGCCTGTAACCCCCACACCTGGTCCTGCAGCAGCCGATGAGGTACGGATGCAACCGGGAAGCCCTCCTGACTAACCTTCGTGGGTGACTTGGCTGAGGGAGTGGCTTCGCAGGGACTTAGCCACCCACGGGCGAGACACATGCTGGCAGGGAAGATGAGCATCAAGTCCTGAGTACTAGCAGGAGCAGCGCCACTGCCATGGGGAGCATGACTGGAGGGCTATACAGCTCTCACTCGGGATCGGACTCCCCGTGGAAGCAATGAGTCGCCTTCATGCGGACCTCACATCCACTTTTGGCTCCTGTTCTCAGACCCCACTCTTGTTCGGATCTCCTGGCTTTCTGACCTTTGCTTTGGATGACCACTCTCTCAGACTCGTGATTCTGCTCTCGCTCTGACTTTCCTGGCTACAACCTTGGACTGGACCTGACTCCTGCCTCTCAGCCCAGCCCAACCCGTGACAAGAAAGCACTTTTGAAGAAATGTTCCAATTGTGGGAATAAGTCTGATAATCACTACCTGTGTCTCCTATATTTGGGAAAGTTAATGATATTTCAAAATTTCCAGTATAATTACAGTTGGTAGAAGGTGTTATTAGCCAATGCTGGCACTTGAGCTCCAGGAGTAATACTTGGTTGAGGAACACTCCTACATTGCCTACTCTGTTCTTTTGCAATGCAACCCCATTGCCTACAGATTACTCCCTCTTCTGCTACTGAAAATCCTGACAACTGTAAGCTCCTTTGACTTGTATGTACTGAATTACAGTTAGTCTATCCAGTCCATTGCAATGTCTAGTTACAGATTCAGGGAAGAAAGAAGGTCTTATCTAGGACTAATTAAAAAAAGAAAAGAAAAATTAGAGTTAGTTCCAAACTGCCCAGTGATTCCATCCAGCTGTTAAATACCGCATAGAAGAGACTTCATAAAGAAAAATGACATTTTAACTAGTTACAGATTCAGGGAAGAAAGAAGGCTGTTAAATACCACATAGAAGAGATTTCATAAAGAAAAATGACATTTTAAAAAGAAATAAATGCAAAATTTCACTACCCCACCGTATAAGTTACTGGCTACTATATTATATGATTTCTCATTAGAAAATTATCTGGACTTTGTATTTATTCTATTTGGTCACCAGAAAGGGAGAAGACCTTTGTATCAGTGATTTGGGGAGGCTACTTGTAATGGAAAAAAATTGGGTATGAATTGCATTTTCTTTTCATTGTATTTCCTGTTGTATCAAATCACATATAGCAGCAACCTCAAATTAAAGCTGCCTCCTCTGATAGGGAAGACACGGTGATATAATATACAAACTCAAATTATAACTACAAAGTAGCACAAATTATGTTTTGATCTAGGTATTTTGGTTTTTCAGGTGGGAATATATGTAGACCAGATGAATTCCTTTGCAACAATTCCCTCTGTAAACTTCATTTCTGGGTTTGTGATGGAGAAGATGACTGTGGAGACAACTCTGATGAACTACCTGAAATGTGTTGTAAGTTTTTCTATTATTTCAATGAGTTGCTATTGTTGGCATAACTCATGTTCCCATCTTCTCATGTTCCCATCTTGTTTGAACCTTCATTTCTTGGTGGATCAAATATTCATCACTGTTTCAGATAGTAAACTGAACAGACAACTTATGTACAAAGATGGTAGGGGGTTTGTACAGAATTTGGGGGTTCCTCTGGGATACATAAAATATGATTTTGTAATTTAACTTAAATTAAAAAATATTTTAAAACCTCTCAAAAACTGGCCTAGTGAGGTCTAACTCGTCCACAACACCCATACTTGGATCCTCTATGTATCAGCTGAAGGGGGAAGTGGGGGCTAAATGCAGGGGCTAAATGCTGCTAAAGAGCATGTGAGAAAATTCTAGGAGGGGAAGGTTTTGAGGATGTTGTGGGAATTCCCTCTCATTATTCCTCATAGGAGTCTATCTTGTTTTATAGTAGATGCACATTTGAAATAAGCAGGTGACATACAGAGCTTACATACTGAACCTCCTTTTGTTCCAGAAAGGTTTTCTAGATATGTATTCTGGCACTAAAGAGTATACCTTTCTCATTAACAGGGTTTTTTCCCCCTTCCAAATCTAACCACACAACATCAATGTTCCCTCTAAGCTGTGGAGTCTTGTGAGCAAAAATTCTACCTCATGAGCTACTGGCATTAAAGTTGTGAGTGAGCGATTTGGCTCCTGCATAAATTAGTTTGCTCTGGAGCCATCCTTCCTGTGCTAAGACAAAAATGTGTGAGCCAGAGGCTAAGAAACTGTGAGCTAGCTCACACTAACTCAGAGGGAACACTGCACAACATTACTGTGGTATATTTATATACATATATATGTAATAGAACAGTCTGCTTCCCCCCCCCCCCGATATCTGTGTGATGTTTAGTCCTATTGGATGGAGCTCTTGTTTTGGTTTCCAGTTTTGTATGTTAGCTGTAGTTGTTGGTTGTGAGAGTTGTCCTTTGCAAATAAATGGCTGATGTTTTGAGCCAGCTTGTCTCTGCTGAATGGGCCTGAGAATGTGTGCCTGAGTGGGAACCCGCAGCAAAAGAGGGACATTACAATTACTTTATAAATCAAAATACGGTGAATGTGCTTGTTGTAAAATCATGTTCAACTATAAAGCCATATCAGTACTAACCATCACTTTTGTTGTCTGATGGAAGCAGAGTAATAAACCTGAATACGTGTCAATGTATGATTTTTAGAGAATGTATATCATAGTTTGTTTGTTTTCTATTTGCAGTAAAATTTCCATGTCCCCCAACAAGACCGTACCGGTGCAGAAACAACAGAGTCTGTCTGCGACATGAACAGATCTGTAATGGGATTGATGACTGTGGTGACGACTCAGATGAAGACCATTGTGGCAAGTGATTTTATTTTGGATTATTTTAGCATAAAAAAAGGATTTTCATTTTATTTGTGGAAATGTGTGAATTTTACCTTTTGATCTAACACTGGAGGCAGGCGTTATGTGCTGTTCTAGCCACTGGCTGGAGGGTGAAGAGTAGATAAGTTATTGAGAAACGGAACAAGTCATATGAGACCAATAACTCTTTGTTGCTGGTTTACCTGAAGGATTTTTGCCTGCTCTGGTTTAAGTTCAAAGGTGAGCGGTACATCAACAAAGCCATGCTTATGGGCTGCTTGGTGGCCTGTGTTGCCTTTCAAACATTCAGCACCTTCCTTGAATGAGTGGTTAAGGACCGCACACAATGCCAACACATCACCCACTCTTTGGGTGACTTCTGCTCACAGCCCCAGCCTCTACCTCAGCTTGTGTTGACTGACTGGCCTTTCAAGCATTAGCAGTGGGACTGGGGGTCCCATTGGCACAGGATAAGATGGAGGGCCCCATGTACCAGCTAAAGTACTTGGGTATCCAGTTAGATTCAGTCCACTATGGTCACCTGTAACAGTAAAAAGACTTCCCCCGTCCTCTCCAGGACGGGAGGGTCTATTCACTGCTCTTAGGGGGAAAACAAATAACAAAAGCTCACACCGGTAGATGCTGCCACCATGTTGCTTTACTGGGTTCTCACAGGTCTGGAGCAAAGCAACGAGAAATCTCCAGGCTGCCACGAGAACACAAGTCTTAGAGCAAGGCTGAAGTCTCCACTTCAGGCTTGGACACAGACACAGAAACTGGTAGTGGTTAAGCTGAGCAGGTCTAAGACACAGGATTAAGGCTCTGGAATTTGTGAAGCTCAATGACCCAAACAAAGGTAAAATATAATTTCTTTATTTAAATAAATTGTGCAAAGTTATTAAAACACGAGACATTAGGCAGGTGATTTAGGTAATAATGAATGCCGTCATCCAGTGGAACATGCCTTTCTGGGGCTGAACCATTTATGCAGCCAGAGGTTTTGTTTTGTTCCCTTCCCTTTTCTTTTTGATGCAGCAATTAATTTGCCATTGCCAAATACAGGTGCCATTGTTTTGGACTGCATCTGCAGCCACCCTGCCCCTAGGCTGGGATGTCGCAACAGACCTTTCAGTGTGCATAAGTATTCAAGACATAATGGAGGGTTGCTAAGGAGTCTTAACCCGGCCTGGTAGAGACCCCAAAGAATCCACACCTTGGTCACTAGGAACCAAGGTTCTTATAGAAAGCCAGGCTGAGGGTGATCCAGGCCTGTTGACCAACCACAGCCCTACAACGTGATGTCACTTCACTCAGTAACCAGGGTGACCAGAATATCCCATAATACTTGTTTGTGCTTCAGGAGGAATCGAAACTTAAAATTCTAAAGGATGGCGTGATTCCTCCCTACACCAGGTACGTTCACTTGAGAATGTTTCAGCTAATTGATGGCCCCACAAACTGGTACGATAAGGGGCCAGTTGCTAGGAGTTAAGGTCATAACTCTAAGTCTTATCAGGACCTTAGGACCTCCTTCTCTGTATCCATGGTAACCCAGACACCTCATTAGCTTGCTTACAATTTACAATCTTGGGAACATTCCATGACCAAAGTAGGTCTTAACAAAGCCTACCTAAAGTTTGGTCAAGCAAGCAGGCAGGCAAACAAAATGGTGTCGGTTTTGCATTACAAATACAGTAACCAATTCAGCACACCAAACCCCCCTCTTTCTTTTACATCATGTAGTATTGGAGATGGATTCATGAGATAATGGAAAAAATAACAAGAACTAACATCCCATTTACTCCAGAGATACTGTTATTGAATATACTTCCGAAAGACTTTGATAAAGCAGATAGGTATTTGATGCCCCTAGGCTGGGATGTCACAACAGACCTTTCAGTGTGCCTGGTCCTCCAGCTCTGGCATTAAAAAGGAGAGAAAATCGGATACCTCTGCTGCCTCTGCTGCTGGCACTACTAAGTAATTCATTGGGGCCTCCTCTTTTCAATGATACTTTAGCAAAAACTAAACCTTCAGACCCTGTTGCTCCTACTTGCTTAGTACCCCAATAGAGCTGAAACAGAATATTTGAGAGAGGGTTTTGGGGTGGGATTCAGGATCTCCTTTATGGTCCAAAGGGTCCCCACAGTCTTTATTAACTTTAAATCTGCCAGGGACCTACCCAATGTTGTGGCACAAAAGGTCACCAAGGAGTATGTGGCAGGCCCATTTGAATCCCCACCTATCTCAAATCTCAGGGTTTCCCCCTTGGGAGTGGTACCCAAAAAAAGCCCCAGGTGACTGTCATGTGATTCATCATGTATATTACCCCTAGGGGTTGTCTGTCAACAGTTGTATTTCCCCAAAACATTGTTCAGTGAGGTACGCTTCTTTTGACCAAGCCATGCAAATTGTGCAGTCTTGTAGCATAGGCACCTTTATGGCAAAATGCGACGTTCAGACTGTGTTCCACTTGTTGCTGGTTTACCTGAAGGATTTTTGCCTGCTCTGGTTTAAGTTCAAAGGTGAGCGGTACATCAACAAAGCCATGCTTATGGGCTGCTTGGTGGCCTGTGTTGCCTTTCAAACATTCAGCACCTTCCTTGAATGAGTGGTTAAGGACCGCACACAATGCCAACACATCACCCACTCTTTGGGTGACTTCTGCTCACAGCCCCAGCCTCTACCTCAGCTTGTGTTGACTGACTGGCCTTTCAAGCATTAGCAGTGGGACTGGGGGTCCCATTGGCACAGGATAAGATGGAGGGCCCCATGTACCAGCTAAAGTACTTGGGTATCCAGTTAGATTCAGTCCACTATGGTCACCTTAATTTCGTTTGTTAAGTGGTGTCCCCAGGATGTGCCTTTTGCACATGGCTTGCCTGTGCTACTTCAGGGGTACATGCCCCTCCACAATATTAGAGTTACACAAGGCATTAAGGAGGACTTAGGGGTTTGGCTCAGCTTTCTAAAAGGTTTTAATGAGGTTTCCCTTTGGCAATCACAGTTGGACATGGGGGGGGTACCTTTCAGGTTCACACTGACACATCCAGCAGTTGGGATTTGGGATGTGTTTTGCTGGGCACTGGTGTTCCATGCGTTGGATACCACAATGGGCCAGCACTGTCATATTAAGGGGTCTTACCTTTTTGGATTTTTTTTCCTATTTGGGCAGTAGTTATCACATCAAGGTATATATTCCAAACAGGTGCATCCTATTTTGGTGTGACAACTAAGCCCTAGTCAGGGTTATCAGTTGGCAGTCATCACACTCTGTGCGGGTCATGCTAACATGCCTGGAGTCTAATATCTCCTTCTCAGCATGCTACATTGCAGGAACCAGTAATGACATCACAGATGCATTGTCTTGATTTAAGGATGAGTGGTTTCACATGCTGGCTCCAGGAGTGAACAAATACCTGCACTGGGAATGTGAGTTTCATCTGGTGGAAGGCGGGTTGCCTGAATTAGCGTCTGTCCCTATGCTGCCCCAATGCTCCTATGGTATAATCAATAAAAAGCTGTGGCCACTTTATTCTCCAAATTGTCTGTGTCAGTTCCTCACCTGCAGACCTGCTATGCCACTGGACCCACAAATATAACCTTTGTGTACACTTTTCTAGGCTTCTTTGCAAGCCACAACAAACAAGGCTAAAAGTAAAAATTGAAACTAGATTGCTCTTGCTGTGGGAGGAGAGAGGTTGGCCATGATTATTCAGTAAAAGGAAACAGCTTTATACCAAGCTAAGACCATCAATCAGTATAGGTCAGCATCATCTACTCTGGCTGGCAACTGTACTCCAGAAGTCTCTGACAGAGCAAGTTCATCGTCAATGCCAGTGTAGTGAGGTCCTTTAACTGGAGTTTCCAAGGAGTAAACCTTGCACCTTCCGTAAGTACATCCTATGCAAAAGAATTTTTTTTGTATCTGAACAAAGTAGGCTACCCACCTGAATTTAGTATCTGAAGTTCCTTATGTATGGACTTAATTATTAATGTATACAAGTATTTTTTAAAAGGAATCCCTGTCATTTGATTTTATATACCTTTATATTTCTTTTCAGGCCTTACTGAATATAGTTGTGAAAATAATGTGAATCCTTGTGGTGATGATGCATATTGTAATAAAACCAAAACATCTCTTTTCTGTCAATGTAAGCCTGGATTTCAAAGGAACAAGAGAAACTGGCAATGTGAAGGTATTTTCTGAGCAATGGTATTGAAATCCTTGTATTAAAATGGTTCATGAAAATGACTAAGAGAGCAATCCTAAACAGGTCTACTGATTCCTACTCGGGTCTCTTCTGTGGGACTTACTCCAAGGAAAATATTCTTAGAATTATACTGCAAATAAATTAAATGCCAGAAAAGCACCTTTAGTAATAACCATGTGGTTATGGAGCACCATTTTACTTTGGGAGAACAGAAATCAACTAAAAACCTTTGTATATTAGTAAGTTAACCATTCATTGTACAATGAAGAGCTGCAAATCCTTAGAAACATAATTATGTTTGTTAGGGAGCATGTCTACCTTTGTTACGTCCTGTCTCACCTCTGCAAATTTTAAAAAATTAATACCGTAGAGATGAACGTAATATTTTATTGCATTTTGACATTGGTTTAGCGACAGTTTAGCAAAGCAATTTTTTTTTAGTTGTTTATAGTAGGGGTCCCCAACATGGTGCCCAGGGTGCCATGGTACCCACCAACACCTTTCCTGATGCCCACCCAGTATTTTCAGACAGTGGGCAGGGCCAGTTGGAGCTTGTGCCCAAAGGGATTCTGATTGGTGGTGAACATTAAAGGCATCCTGTTAAACAGAGCTTCTGCCTTCAATGTTGAATGCTGAGTAACGTTGAGTTACTACTAGGGCTGCCAAGTGGGGGCGGGGGCGGCTTTGGAGGCCCGATTTCCGCCGCCGCAGAATTGGGCCCCGGGGGGAACTCCGCCCCAGGAAGCACAGCGTGGCTACATCACCAGAGGTGATGCAACCATGTCGATCATGTTGGGGGCGTGGCCCCGATCGTCGGAGGGAAAACTCTATCGTTTTCCCTCCGACGATCGGAGCCACGCCCCCAACATGATTGATGTAGCGCGTCACTTCTGGGACGTGCTGGCGGCACGTGAGCACTTTGTGCGCGCATGCACGCGTCGGATGAGAGCTTCCGGAGCCCGGTGACGCTCCCCCGCCAGTAAGTAGATTAGACTTGGCAACCCTAATTACTACGAGTGTTATCTATAACCTCACTCTCTGACAAGTTGTGGTTGTGGAAGCCATTTTGTTGTTGCACTCATGACCTTGTGTCAAAATTTGAAAGGTGCCTGCAGGATAAAAAAGGTGGGGGACCCCTGGATTATAGAGTCTGCTTTGTATTGAACTGTAACACATTTCATTGCCATAATGTTTCCAGATTATGGGCATAGCTAGTAAAATATAGAGTTCTATGGATATATTGCTTATAATATGAAAGCACACTGAGTCCCTATTATTAAGATTTCACATGGAGACGTACCTCCTTGAGCATTCCATGTTTGCATGTCTCTCTTGTCTCTGTTGTTTGCCTGCTGTTCCTTAATCACTTTGCTAGTGTAGGCAAGTGAGATGCCATTGAAAAACTGCATAATAACAGAACTGAATATACCTGCAGTGCAACATCTCAGTACACAACTTTACCGTGGTCATGTGGCCGGCATGATACCCACTGTGCCACCACTCCCCTTGTTGGCAAGTGAGGTGCCACTGAAAAACTGCATAATAACATAACTGAATATACCTGCAGTGCAACATCTCAGTACACGTGCAATGTTTCATGTGAGAAGGCTGCCTCCCAACTACCTCATTACACTACAGCTGCATAAAGAGAAGCCCATACTGGGACACCTGTGCCCAGCCTGACTTGTAATCAAATATTAGAGCAGGGATGACCACTTGAGCCACCACAGCTCCACATTAGAGCAGGGACGAACTCTTAAATACCTTTTAAAATGTCTTTGTCACCTTTCATGGCTCCAAATGCTGCAAGGGGAAAGGAGGGGATTCATGCCTCTTTCCCGCACCATTTTTCCCAGCAGAATTAGCCACCTGGGATGCTGCTTTTCCCTTCCTCTAGCTGCATGTATCTATTCCTAGTGGAAAATGCATGAAGCCCCTCCTTCCCCTTTGTGGCATTTGGAGGCATGTGGGGCAACAAAGATGTTTCAAAAGGCTTTTAAAGGCTAGTCCCCACTCTAACATTTGACTGTGAGTGATGTCAAGCACGCATCTCTTGACATGTCAAATGTAACGTGTTATTTTGCCCCATGTTTCACTGCTTTCACCCCAGATTTATAAGCATGCATATCAACCAACATATTTTGCATTAAAGGAAAGGATAAACACAATAGAGTGACTGAATGGAACGTGAAGGACCAGGGATTCCATGACAAACTCTTCTAAGTAGGGTTTATTTCCTTACATATTGCCATTTCTTGATGGACCTTGTTATTGGAATTGGCTGCAGTTGAATAGGTCTGAAGGGGAGAGGCCTGAGGTAAGAGTGCAGGAGCAGACAGAGGCAAATATTCTAGGGTGATGAGAGAAAAAGAAAACTGGATGTGACAGCAGATAGCCTCACTGCTGATGGTCCAGTCCAGCTGCTTCTAGGATTCCAAAACTGATGTTCTCCAACATAGCCCTCCTCAAAACAGAACAACTCATCAAGAATTTCATGCTGGCAGAAGATCAAGGTCAACTGTGAGGATGCTAGGGTTTCTTAGACTTGGCTGCATATAACACAACATTTCTAGCAGTGGAGAAGGTTTTTCTAGCTTTGTCTTAATTATGAGCCTCCTTACATTGTGTAGATAATGGCTGAAGTTCTTTGGTGGCTATAGGGTTGGTTTTTTTTAAGTTTTAAACCCATCCTACCTTTGGATTTATGTGTGCTATATTATAAATGTCTCAGCTCATATAAAAAATATGGGCTAAGCTGTTTTATAGAACATTTAATATGGATGAAGTAAAGGTGGAAAGTGGGTGGGGTGCGAAATAACTAAACAGAAGATCACACATCGTGTACATTAAATCCACTCAAATTCATCACAGATAATTTTAGAAACTTCTGAGGGTGAGTCATTTATATCCATTTATACCTTGTTGTCAAACTTTCTACCCATTTACATGAAGAGTGTACATGTTGGCATGGAGAGACTACTTGGAGGTTGGAACTATGGCTATCTGGGCTGGAGAAGGCCTTTGCAGGGGCTAACGGATACTCATTTTTATGTTCTCCCTTCATTAGCAGATCAGTATTTCAAAGGAATGTGTTACAGCTCAAACCTGAGCAGTTTTTGGAATGACTCTCCACTTTGAGTGAGATTCCCGTGAGGGATATCTATGGGCTTTAGTTGGAGGAGTAGGTGGGAAAATTGTGCTCCAAGGGCAGAAATCGCTTCTGTTTGCAAATATTTCCACATAATGCATTATCATTCAGGATGGCTTGGGTTGTAAGAAGAGAGCTTCCCAATAACTGTGATATTTTAATAGTGAACTGACTTGTGCTATTTTATTTTATTTTCTAGATATCAATGAATGTGTGATATTTGGTATATGCTCTCAACTCTGTACCAATATAAAAGGATCATACAAATGTACATGTGAAAAAAACTATAAAGAAAAGAATAATAGCTGCATTGCAAAAGGTAAGCCCAGAAAAATAATTACTGATCCCACTGGACCTACTAGCTGTGATCCCACCCCACATGAAAGCATAATTCTCATGCATGGCAAAATTCTCAGAATAAATTAGTAGATAATACCAATACATGGTACCATACAATTTTGTATTGGTATATATGGTATACTTGAAAATCATGTTGAAAAAAACTTTTTCTCAGGACCATATTTGAGACAGGTAGCATTGAGATGTAACCGTCGATTTACGAAATGATCACAGGTGTATCATATAATCTGCAATCCCCAAATCTCCCATTTCTTTAAACTGTAGTTATTTTTAAAGGTTTTTGAAGTAAATATGAGCAGGAAGCAACTTGAATTTGTTTTACAGCAATGTGATTTTATGTGGTATTGCTGTTGTACATTTCAGATTGTGTTAATGCAAAGTACATTCCAGCATTGATACACCAAGATATAATTTTGAACTACAATGTAAAAAGGATATATTCTTCATCCTTAACTCTAATAAAAATAAATTATTTTATTGACTTCTATTGCAAACCAAGCTGCTTTTATCAGGAAAGTCTTCCTTTATAGTTCCCATGTGTAGATTATTTTAGAATAAATAACAGTATAAACAGAATAAATAAATTATACAGACATGTATCAGAGTCTTTTCTAGTAGTCTTGAAATTCTTCCTTAGAAGTGTCACCCAGGTGTGGACTGGGAAGTGAAAATGACAATGGAATGTGCTCCCTTCGGCAGCACATATACTAAAATTGGCACGATACAGAGAAGATTAGCATGGCCCCTAAGTTTAATGTAATTATTTCCTTTCAATTTATGAAAACTGTAATTGTTTCTTGTGCTTGGAAAATAACAATAAAAAGAAAAATTAAAAAAAATTACACTGGAACAAACCTTATGGTGCTACAAACCAGGGCTGCAGGGGCCACTCAGTCCAGCAGTTCCAACAATGGGATTCTTAGTTCATCCATTGCTTCCTCTTTAAAACTGACAGCAGTACAGGAGTGAATGGGTGAGGTGACGCAGATTATCATTGCCAGTGATCTGAGCCAAGAGCCCCCCGAATTGCTGGCAGTGTTGCTGGGTCTTGACTGATCATGGCTGGTCACCAATGGCCTTCTAAGTTAGCGGTTCACTGGGGAATTTCCCTGTAAATTAAATGGCCAGTGCACTTCAGGTCTCACTTAAGAAGAAACTTCCACATTTGCTTTGAATTTCTCAAAAACTCTTGAACAGGCCTTTGAGGTCTAGAGTTATGCTTGCACTCAGCAAAAGGGCTGTTTTATATCTCATGTAAAAGCGCTGCATGAAAAAAAATGAAGTAGAATCAAAATATGTTGTTCCCCTTGCACAAAATATTGTGTAACCTCTTGAGAAAGTGGAACCATAATTACTCTTACTGAACATATGTATTACAATATTGCTTGGTTTCTACTAGCACAAACATTTCCAGAAAAGCATTAGCAGCTGTGTTCCTTCCTTCATGGTTCTTTGGAACTACCTAATCCACATAATTAAACACCGTTATTATATTGCTGAGAATTACTATACAATACTGAAATGTCAATGCAATTGTCATAGATCATATGCTAATATTCAAAATCCCTTGCTAAAAGCTGATAGAATTTTTATAATGTCTGCTCATATCAAGAAGACACTGCTTTTGTGATAAATTTTGGATGTGATGTATTACCTAGATGCTATATTCATTCTTAATTCTAATAAATTGTTAATGCTGCATAAAGAACAAACATTTTTTTAAAAAGAGAACATTTATGGATTTACGTTTTTTATTGCATTGACAGGCTTGCAAGTAATGAGATTTAAAAATTCCTTATTCACCTACATATGGGACACGTGTGTGTTAGACTGCATCAGTACTAAATTGAAATGTGCTTAAAAACAGACTTTTAATTTACAGGATTTTATTTCATATTATACTCCACTGGGGAATTTTCTTGACAGTCTCACTGATTTAAGAAAAAGTACCCAAGATTACATTGTGGGGGCGGGGTGTGGCAAGTGCAACATCAGTTTATAGAAATAAATTCTCCAAATAAATATGAACATTTAAAATACATAAAAACATTGATTCTTAAGTAGCTGAAATTTACTTTATTTTTGTATTTCATTACAATAATCTCCAGGCTCTGAAGATCAAGTTCTCTACATTGCTAATGACACTGATATCCTGGGTTTTATATATCCATTCAACTACAGTGATGTTCATCAACAGATTGCACACATTGAACATAATTCAAGAATAACTGGAATGGATCTGTATTATCAAGGAGAAATGATTGTTTGGAGTACTCAGTTTAATCCTGGAGGAATTTTCTATAAAAAGTTTCATCAGGGAGAAAGAAGACAAAGCAGTAGTGGCGTGATAGTAAGTAAACTAGAAGAGTGTTTTTGTTTAGCTTGGTTATTGTGTATAACATGTTTAACATATACAATCAAGATTTAATTCAAATTTATGTGCTGGTTAATTTTGAATAGAGCAGTCTGCTAATGATATCAGGTCTCCCCTCCCACCCTTGGAGCTGCTCGTTATAATTCAGCAAAATTTTAACAAAGCAAGTGTGATCAATGTCATTCTCAAATTGCTTCAATGGATGTAGTTCCAATTTCTAACTAAACATTACCTGCAAAAGTGTTCTGATTTATCTCCTAGGTTTTAGATATTATTTTATATAGCATACATTTCTAAATTAACATACACTATGTTAAATTATTCAGAAACATGCATATGAAATATATTTTTGTTATTTTATCTGCTTACCAATTTTGAAGTGCACTTTTATGAAATAATTAGCAAATTGGTATCAACTGGCTCTGTGAGCCAAACTGTAAACCAAAGATTTAAATTCCAGCTGAAACCAATTTTGAAATGGTTCTCTCTATTCTATTAAATTATAGCCAATGTTATATTGTAGCCAATATTATCTCCTGATTTGCCTTCTTCATTGAATAGCCACAGATCTATATTGGGTTAATAGGTATCCAGACAGCCCTAGTCACTAAACAGTTTCTGTCCAAAAGAAAAATCAAGCCGCACCCACTTGGAGTCCTCCTCTTTCCAACCAGCTACAGAACAGAGTCCTATATCAGCCTGTTTAGATAGCTGTATTTGATTTCTCAACATTTTCTCTAGTTACCACTTTAGCATAGGAGGTGTATTCTGGCTATGAAACATCAGGACATATCATCAACAGATCTTTAGCAATCAAGTTCAAAAGATCATTACTTGAGAGTCAGTACAATCTGAATTACTTTCTGTAAGAATTTGTATCTACTGTAATTGCATTTTGTTTGGAATTAAGATTAGGATCTTTAGAAGGGATGATTGTAAACTATTTCAGTGGATTTTGGAATCAAATATTGGTTCCCACCCTACTGTACAATAATAACACAAAATCCAATGATGTGTGGATGCATCCACAAAGGACTAGTTTTTTTTTAAGTGGTTTATTATTTTATTGTTGTTTTTTAATTACATACGTCCCATTGCAACATATGGCTATGTATTTTTCTAGGATCCTTGAATTAATGGGACTTGAATATCTTTTCCACAATGACCAGAAGTGGATAGGAGAACAAAGAGTTCTATCTGTGTTCCTTTGGTTCTGCTCCTTGACGTTCTATGAAATACAACATAAGATTGTTGGGGCATAGAGCGAATTACAGTCAGGATGGAACTGTGGGAACAGACTCAGCTCATTCTTTCTTTCTTTTTAAACAGACAGTAGTTTCCCCAATGATTGGTTCTATATCATAAAAATAACAATGGTTATATAGGAAATTAGGGGGAACAAGTGGGAACCTGCAAGGAACTTTTGGGAAGGGAGCACCCCACCCCCCCTGTCTTTACTGCCTCTTCTTTCCCTCCCTTCTCTGATATTCATTTCCCTTTCTTTCCCCCCTACCACATCTGTCACTCACCTTCTCTTTCTTTATGACCCCACCCTTTCTCTGTCACCCCCCTTTTGCCAGGAGGGGCAGCAATGACTCCTGCACCCCACCACCCCTGCAGCTTTGCCACTTGGCATGGGGACATTGACAGCTCCCACCTACTGACTGCCTCTAGCTTTATCAGCTTGGCAGGGGGGTAGCAACAACTCCCTTGTCCATGACACTTTCAGCTTTGCCAGCTCAGTGTGGGGGGGGGGGTAGCAATGACTCCTATGCGCCTCCTTCCCCGCTCCAGTTTTGCCACCTCTGCAGCTGAACGAGGGTGGAAAAAAATGGCTCTTCTCCTTCTCCCACCCTCCTCCTCCTTCTCACACAGTGGCAGCTGCAGCAGCCAGCATATTAGAGTGTTTGTGTATTTGAATGTATATTTCTGTGCAAAAGCAGACAACCCTCTTACTTAGGGAAGGATTTAATGCCCCATCCATTTTTCTGCACCCTGGGGAGGGGGGGTACCCCATGTTTGCAGAACTATCTGTTTTCTGTATGTCATGGTATTAGAGCTGAATTGAACCTCAGTCTTCGACTAAAACTCTGCAAAACCTCCGGTATACCTATGATACTTTAATTTCTATAGTAATTAGCTTCTGTACCTGAAACTTTGGTTCTGTTTCCAAGGAGGCTTCAGGCTGCTGCTTTGTGCTGTGTGTGGCCTTCAGGATATCACTGTACACTTTGCCTCACATGACACTTGCTTTCTGGGAATGTTTGTACTTTCCAGAAGTCACTATCAAATTCTAAATAGATAAGAGTATCAGAAAGTAGCTTCCTTGACCCAGCTGAATTAGTTTGGTTTGGAGTTGATCTGATCAACTACCCTGCTGTTATGGGTCTTGGCAGAACAACCAAAGATATCCTTTATAGAATTATAAGTGCACTGTTTATGTATTGGGGTTGTGTTGAATATTTAAATGCTACAAAAATGTTTTCTGACTTAGGAGTGTGTAATAAAATAAACTGAGTTTTGGTTTAGAACATCTCTCTCTCTCTCTCTCTCTCTCTCTCTCTCTCTTTATCTCCTTTCTCATAGATTCTCTCTCCCTCTCTCTCTCTTTTGATGCATTTGGGAAGCCAGCTTCTCTCCCTCCCAGAATTGAATACAGTGGAAATGAGGGTGCTTGAAAAGGTTCTTGCACCCCTCATTTCCCCAACACTGTCAGTGTGTCCCAGATCCACATATATAGCTACCCTCAGATGGGGCAACCCTTGACCTAGCAGTATAGGGATCTTATTACATTATTGGCTCTTTTGGATTTTGTTGCTTCTACTAAACACTTTAATCCTGCTGCTTGCACTAGGGCAAAACAATAGTGGGATTGGCATGGCTACTAATTGGCCTGTGACTGTTTGGTATATTGAATGGACATAGCTAACACTTAGAAAAACTGCTGTGTTTGAAGCAAGTTTGTGTTGCAGCCCGTGAAACTCACTCCCAAATGGATTTAGGTTTGAATGGTAGACAACTATACTGCAGTCAAGTTCTTTAGCTTTGTTGGTTTGAGAAATTAACTGTATATGAAGATGAGAATTTACTCTGAATATCAGTGCAGTCATCTGAAGCGGAAGATAATTAAAGCAATCATGACATGCCAGCTGTAGGATGCCCAGTTTATTTGGGTACCATGTGGATTCCACGCTTATTGGAACACAGAGTGATTTCTTTTTGGGATTTTTTTTCATTCTGCTTTAAACAAAGAAGAGTTTTGCCAGTTTCCATCCTGCAGCAGTATCCAGCAGGAAGATCTTTGTGGGGGAAAAGCTGCCCAAGCAGCTTTGAAGAAATAGAGATAACTCAGAAATGAGTCTCAATTAAAGTCGTATACATTTTCTAATTTTGTGATTATAGAATTGGATTCTTTACAGGATGGAAAAGGACATTTCAAACCTAGATGTTATGATTGTCAAAAAGGTCACTGAGGACTGGTTCAGATATTACTGTTTATTATTCCATCCCATTTTCTGCTGCTGAAATAGTGAGAAGTATCTGGCTGGCTGTCAACCCAAAAGTATATAAGCAAAGATAGCATAAGTCTGTCACACATCTCACTATTCAAAAGTGACATTGGTGTGTGAATCTCAAGAGTGGGACGTTAATATTGTTGTGGATAAACATTTATCTCCAAAGCCTTCCTAAGTATCTTTTATGAAATGGAGGAGTCTCAGAAAAAGGAAAAAGCATAAGCAATAATAACCTTATGTAAAAGAAAGGGACTGTAAAAAGATTTGTAGAGTTTATGTGCATTTCAAAGACACTTTTCTGCTCCTGCCCCAGAAATCACACTATCCTGAACTGTCAGATGCCAGGGTTCTTCCTTCACATTCTTGCCCCAAAGCAAAGCCACATCAGGGCATCCTGGGGTCTATGAAAGTTTCCTCACTGTCAGTGCAGACTATCATCAACAAAAAGCCGCAGAGAAATGGATTAGGAATTTGTGAGAACATTGATTCAGGAAAGTGCAGCTCTCTCATGTTTGTTCACGTAAAGCTGAAGCTTGATCTCTTCTATAACAGCATCCTTATATAAGGCTAAGCTTCCTGCCTCCCAGATATAAGACTCAGGTCAAATCATATTTGTCTCCTAAAAATCTTTTTTAGGGGGCTGTCTTCTGCCTATCCCAAATAATTCAGATTGAACAAAAGGTACACTATACACCTATATGTCAGGGTCATCCTAATAAATAAAATAGGACTCGGGTCCTCTGCTATACAAGATTCCAAAGAATTTAAACCAATTTTTCTAGACAAATTAAGTACACAAAATTGTTTCAACACAATACTTTTGTGAGTGTTTTATTTAAATTTCATTTTATTCTGGAGCAGTTTCCCCCCCTCATTTTTTGAAGGATAAACAATGCAAGTCTTAAGCAGAGTTATGCCCTGCCAAATCCATTGAAGACAGTGGACTTAGAAGGGTGTAACTCTATCTAGGATTCACCTACATATTTTTGTATAAATAATCTAAATTACCTTATACAGTCCATATCACACCATTTGGAGATTAAACTGACCTTGTAGTTTAGGGTTAGTGTCATAGTGTCAAAAGAATTTCTACAAATGTCATCTGCATACACTGTGTCATTCTTGTTGCAATGGTATTATTCTGAAAAAAAATCAGTTCATTGTTGAAATTATAATGGCAACCACAAGTGAAAGTGTAACCTTAAAATGGAGAAATATTGCACCCTGGAAAAATGCAGCAATATAAGCACTCTACATGTAAATAAATGTTATGATGGCTGGTCAATGATCATCAGATAAAAACAATTTACTCTAATTGTGACTGACAAACTGACTGTAGCGATCATAGTGTCTGTGGCAGTTGAGTTGGTTTGGCCTGATGTTATCTTTTTCATTTTGGATTTTTAGCTTACCTACATGCCTATGTACTACTGCTCTCTCTGTGTGTAGGATGGAACACCCAGACCCTTTTTCAACAGACTAAAGGCAAGGTGATGTGGCATGTGACTGCATTGCTCACATATGCTCCCTGACAATGGATTTCCTTTAACTATCAGAGGTTGCTAGGATGTTCCTTTTTTCTCTTTCTTTTAGAAAGTCAGCAAACTTCTAGCTGACTGGTTTCTGCCTGTTTACACTGTCAGATTGCCTAATGGCTCCTCAATGACCATCAGTTAAAACCTCTTTCATTTACCATCATCAGCAAAATCTGGCATAGAGTTTCTGGCCATTACAAAAGATAATTTAAAAAAACCTCTGGTTCAGGAGTCTATGGCAAGCTATGATATAAAAAAAATGGGGATTGTGGATCTAGCACCTAGTTTACCTGTAATTTGTGGATTTCTTAGAGGTATTTTATGGAGGCAAATAGAATTTGCATCAGACTGTGCTGACTGCTGATATTCAGTCTCAGACCTTTCATATTGAACTATAAAGCACATAGATTTCAGTGACTCTTGAAACTCATGTTTCAAATGCTATATGTCAAATGTTCCTTTGAACACATCAAAATCCTTGATTACATGAAAAAGTACATAAACTATGTCAAAGAAATGGCTATCATTGTGAGTTTTTAATGTTTGTATTTTCTTCTAGTGCCCAGAATTCAGAAGACCTAGAGATATTGCAGTGGATTGGATAGCTGGAAACATTTATTGGACTGATCACTCAAGAATGCACTGGTTCAGTTATTATACAACTCACTGGACAAGTTTAAGATATTCTGTCAATGTAGGACAGATAAATGGACCAAACTGTACAAGGCTCCTTACAAACATGGCAGGAGAGCCATATGCAATTGCTGTAAATCCACCCAAAGGGTAGGTTGTTATGAAAACTTTTTATCATACCTATTCTTTTTTTGTATGTACTGTGTTTAAAATTTTTATGTATTATATACCATAGTTGTATGTGTTATGTGCCATCAAATCACTTCTGATTTATGATTGATAACCGTATGAATTCATGACAAGCAGAAGGTCCTATCATTGACAACCTTTCTCAGGTCTTGCAAACTGAAGACCATGGTTTCCTCTATTGAGTCAATCCATCTCAGGTCTTTCTCTTTTCCTACTGCCTTCAACTTTTTCTACCATTATTTTTTTCCAGCGATGCCATAGTTAGCTATAGAAAATTCAGATGGCTAGAGAATTGCAGTAACCCCCAGTGAATAGACCTAAGCTCTGGGGGCAGAGTGGGATGATGCAGAAGGAATCCCCTCTATGAGTTCTGTGTGGTAGATCCAGTCAGAGTATGGCATCCTGATTCAGTGGAACAAATGCTTGCAAATTTCCATGGGCTTCCTCCTATATTTATTGTGTAACTTATCAGTAAACAATTTTGTATCTGGAATTTTCAGTATGATGTACTGGACAGTCATTGGAGATCATTCTCACATAGAAGAAGCAGCAATGGATGGCACTTTGAGAAGGATATTAGTGCAAAAGAATTTACAAAGACCTACAGGTACAAACCCTTTCCCTTCTCCTTTTGTGTGTGTGTGAAATTGTTTTCCAGATTCTGATTTGTGTTTTTTTTAGTTGATTTGTTATGTGTATGTAAAATTTAATAATATATTTTTAATTAAAAAAATATTCTTAGGTGTATCATTTATTTATTTATTTATTTGCATTTATATCATGCCCATCCTGTGAGCAGGCTCAAGGCAGGTAACATCATTATAATAACTACAATTTCAGTTTAAAACATGATAAAACATTCTAATAATTAAAACAATGGGTACACCTTGACTCAGTGTCAGCTGGCTATAAAATTCTGGCCCGATGGTGCAGTGAGTTAAAGTCCAGTTGTCGGTGGTCAGTAAATAGAC